CTCAGTGTCACACGGAAAGGTGTAAAGAGTCCTGAAGCTTCCTTGACCTGGGACTTCTTCTCATTTGCTTGGAATGACTTCTCCCCTCCTTCACACCCAGATCACTGTGTTACTCCACAGAGCAAGATGTGACAATGTGACACAATGTCAGTGTCATACAGAGCCAAACCACCAAAGATCTCTGGAGACCATCAAGGTGCTTGTTCGTTTGTCTACTCAATAAACACACGCTGAATGTCCACTGTGTGTGGCAAACTGCACGCCCCGAGGGCACAGCGAAGACAGGCAAGAGCTAGGTTCTGAAGGCAGGGTGGGGGCAGCCTAGGCTATGCAGCGACTCCCTGTGAGACCCTGTCCAAAACAAAAAGAGGGGGTACTGGGGAGCCAGGTGTGTTGGTACAGGTCAGTAATCCCAGAACTCAGGAGTGGGAGCAGGAGGATCAGTAGTTCAAGGTCAGCCTTGGCAAAACAAGACCTTGTTTCAAAAGAGTAGTGGTGATATATACCTGTAACCCCAGAAGCAGGAAGATTAATTCATTCATTCAAGGTTAAATTGGGCCATATAGCAAGAGCCTGATCATGAAATAAAAAGACTAGGGGGTCGACTTCCTGTCGCCTCTGAGTCAAGATGTAGCACCACTGTCTGTCCGCATGCCGCCATGCTCCCCTTTACGATAACGGACTGGACCTCTGAAACTACTGCTGGGGATGCCTGAGAGGCCTGAACCAGGATAAAAGTCAGAGCTCCAGATCTGGGGAGGACGATGAGCGCTTCAGGTTTCCAGGACAAATGCTGGGCAGCAAAGGCTACACATGTACTGCGTATTCACTTGGGCTGGCAAGATGACTGTGGGATAAGGACAGAAGTCACCGAGCTTGACAAGCTGAGTTTGACCCTCATGACCCACATGGGACAAAGAGAACTGACTCCTGCAATTTGTCCTCTGATCTCCACATGGAGCAGTGGGACACACGCAACATACCCCATAAAAATCAATAAATAAAATACAATGGAATTTAAAAGAGAGAAAGAAAGAAAGAAAAGAAGGAAGGAAGGAAGGAAGGAAGGAAGGAAGGAAGGAAGGAAGAAAGAAAGAAAGAAAGAAAGAAAGAAAGAAAGAAAGAAAGAACCCTAGGGATGGCTCTCAGTAGTAGATTATTTACCCAGCATGCTCAGGGCCTAGCCTGGGTTCCCAGTAAGCAGGAGTACAATGGTTGGTGCACAAATACTTGAAAAGGCCGGGCGGTGGTGGCACACGCCTTTAATCCCAGCACTCGGGAGGCAGAGACAGGCGGATCTCTGTGAGTTCGAGGCCAGCCTGGTCCACAAAAGCTAGTTCCGGGACAGGCACCAAAGCTACAGAGAAACCCTGTCTCGAAAAAACAAAACAAAACAAAAAAACAAAAACAAAAAAAAAACACTTGAAAAGGTCATTTTCAGATTGGGAGGGAGGGGAAGGACGTGGTCTAACAAGGAAAGTTTATATGGACACCATGTGGGGAGGATGCAGAAAGAGGGCGAGTAGAGGGGGTTCAGGCAAAGGCTGAACTTGTACAGAAGCTGGGGCAGTGGGAGCGTAGCATGGTGAGTGCATGGATGGAAGGACAGTGGGGTTGGAGCTTGATAGCAAAAGAAAACCGAGATCAGCTACAGGGAGGATTGTGGACTGTGCACGGCAGGGCTTTGGATTTGCTGCTGAGGACCAAGTCAGCTATCCTACAGCTTTGGGGGTAGAGATGTCCTGTGCAGATTTACACCGACTGTCTGATTAGTTGACTGATTCCTGAATAGGTATGGTTAGCCTGGAATTCACTGTGTAGGCCAAGTTGACCTTGAACTTTGGGGCCTTCCTGCCTCTGCTTCCCAAGAGTCAAGTATTGTGCATACTTGTTTGTTTCCTTTCTTTTTAGAGAAACTCCCCTATAGCCCAAGCTTTGCCTGTGTGATGATATAGCCAAGGATGACCTTGAATTCTTAATCCTCTTGCAACTATTTTGCAAGTGCTTTTTGATGGTTTTCGCCCCTAAGGTCTGATCATTTACTTGTTACTTTTAAAGATTTGTTATTTATTTTTGGCTGGACTCAAACTTAGAAGTAGAAGAATTCGCTCAGAGAGGACATACTACATAAATCTCTTGGCAATCTGTTCCTCGAGGTTTTCTTTGGCTTCCTTCATTCTCTTGGCCGAAAGTTTAGCATATTCTGCAGCCTCCTCCTTATTTTTCTTGGTGCATTGATTCTTCAGAGCAATAGGCCAGTGTTTGTGTTGCAGGACACAAGGAATAACAAGACACTGAGTCTTGGGTAGTTTGGTCCTGCGCTTCTTCCCTTCTTGGTTTAAGTGCTTTCTGATTATCATTTTGATGGGTCTCACCTTCTTTAGAGAGGTTGAAAAGCTTTTGGATTTTGCTAGCTCTTTTGGTTTCCAACTTCTGAGGCATAGTAGCATATGTCAGTTAAGGAAAAATCCTTCTCTCCCTGTAATGGTAAAATTGTGCATTTTCCCGGAGGCCACTGTGGGTAGGAGACCACAGTGGTCCAGAGGGGCAGCCGGTCTCACCACCTGAGGCTTCTGTGGGTCCCAGGTGGCTGGAACATGGCAGGTGACTCCCACTAGGAGCCACGGTGGATGAGAGACAGAGATGGATAGGCACACAATGCAGAGTGAGTGGGTATTTATTTATTTAGTGGGTTATGGAGGGGAAAGAGGAAAAGGGAAGAAGGGGGAAGAGCAGAGAGAGGCAGAGAGAGAGAGAGAGAGAGAGAGAGAGAGAGAGAGAGAGAGAGAGAGAGAGAGAGAGAGAGAGAGAGGGGAAGGGGTGAGAGGAGAAACTACCTCTTCGACATGGAAAAGAGAGAACTCAGGCTGGAAGCAGAAGGAAGATCAGACCCTTTTGAGGGGAGGGAGTGGGCAGAGCTTGTCTCTTAAAGGGACAGAACAGACCATTACAC